TACCAACAGAGGTCAGCTTCACAAATTCCCCTCATAAAAATAAATTCAATGAATTATTTGATAATTATTTTTCTAAAATCAAATGGCAGAGGTTTTCAGGATACATTTTTTAATATAAGATTGGTGCAAAGTTTGCAGGAAAATATCGACAGTTCTGTGGCAACCACTCTAAAAGGGAACAAAAGAAAAGAAAACTAGAAGAAGCCCAAAAGGTTGCCGTAAACTTCCTTGTCGCTGTCTGACTCCATGACAGACTCTTTGAAGACAGCCTGATGTGAATAATATGCGGAAGAACGCCGTAGTAGGAGCAAAAGCGCATTTGACGGTTGATATGTCCCCTTGGTGCGATGATGACAGTCAACTGCTATCAACTATTGTCTTATCGGGGTGAAGACCCTTCTGGTGTTAAGGGTCCTTTTTTATTTTAGTACTTAAGGGTCCTAGGTCTCAGGGTTTTAGGGTCTGGTTTTTACGGTATGCCGTTTCGAATATACCTAGGGCCTCTGACAACGTCTCGCCGGCCCTTCCAATGTACCGCTAGCACTGAGTGCCCCATAAAATTATAGGCATAAAATACCGTCAAGCATTTTAGTTTGTTTTTCAAAAGTCGATCTCTTAGTCCAATAAAGCTACCAACTCCGCCGTCCACTTATAATGTTTTGCCCCCCCCCCCACTCCCCCTGTGCTTGAGGGTAGTGATGAAATGAAAACGCTGCTTCCCCGCCATCAGATGTTTTTACACCAGTTCATATTATTCTAGTTATACAACTGGCATTAATGGGCCAGAAGAAAGTAAAGATGAGGTTGAAAACACCTTGAAACTGAAAATCTACTGAAAGTGACGAGGAGCAGAACAATAGCAACTACGGCGCTGTCAAGGGAGAATGGGGAGTAATTACCCTCTACTGTTGTAAATAACCTCTGCCGTAGGCGTTCATGGATTGCCTTTTAGTCTCTGTATAGAGTAGAACGTTGATCCACAAAACTTATCTCAAAGTTAATGAACAGGGGAAGATAAGCCCACGTTCAAGCTTTGCCTTAGGAAAATGCACCGGTTTTCTATCCCAGGGACCATGCCCATTCATATTTTGCTCCACTGACGGTGCTGCCATTGATCCCCTCCGAAATTGCTTAAAAAATCAGTTTATGATGTTCACGGGTAGTGCCTTCTAGAAAGGAGTGTTTTATAGGGCCATGAAAACATGCTGATTTGCTAGTTGGCCACAAAGATTGGACAGACATCTAAGATGCTAGGGAAATATTTTTCTAAATATTTAAAAAATTGTCCACCACAATATAGTAGATTTAAAAAATTCATAATTAACGTTACATCTAAAAAAATTATAAAATATATTTTACATATTACGTACACAAACGTCAGTAGTACTTCAAAAGTTAAGTATCTTGGAAAAGGTTACTCGAGAAAAGCAAGTGTTTGAGAAAACTGTTTTTTTGAGATATGGCGATTTGAGTTAGTGATTTTTCTCAAAAAAGGAAAGACCGAAAATTATTCTCTCTTAAATGTGCTTTTCTCTTTTCTCTATAAAGCGTTAAAAGATTTGAATAAAGTTTTGTCTTTGTCCAATGTGATTTAATCCTTCAGATATGGCAATTCAAATTGGCGACTTTTCTTGAAAAATAAGGCTATGGGTTTCCCAAGATTACTGATTTTGCACCAAAATTGAACTTTGCTTAAAAAATGATGTTCCATATTCTATATGAAGCGTAAAAAGCCTTGAACCAAGTTTTGCCGTCATAGAATCTGGTTTTGTCCATAAAATGTGTCGTTTTTTAATAGTGTGCTTTTCATCGAACAAAACGGTTATAGGCTGACCAAAATTGCTGGCCTTCGACGAAAAATACCTTCATTATTCAACTTTAAATGCTCATCCGCAAATACTAGTAGAGATTTGGTCTTCAGGACACCGCTAATATCAGCGCCTTTAAAATTGAGTGTGCTTGAAATATTTAACGAGATATCATTACCAGAATGGTATCTTATCATATAACCCATCTTTGCGGACATAAAGCTTAGACTATTCATTGCTCATATATTAAATATCGAACATTGCTCAAGGTCAGTCAGATATAAGACAAAAAGGATTGGGTCTGAACAGGACCCTTCAGGGGTACCCCTAGGGGGTACTCTCATTAAAGCCTAAAAGGGGGTCCAGTCGATTTGAGGGTCTTTCCAAATGGCTACCAAATGGCCCACTTTCGATAATAACACTACCATTTAATAAAGTCTTATCTTTTGTTATAGAAAATTAACAAAATCTTATCTTTCCCGAATGATTAACAGTCAATGGCGAAGAAATTTTTCAAAGTAGGACCTGGTGAGCACAAATAAATGGATGCTACCAGGAGTATAATTTCGGTTATTATGATACCATTTTAGGGTTATTGTCAAAAAAGACTACCATTTGGAGGTAATTTTTCAACACTTTAGCATTGACCCTGACTTAACCCCCTATTAGGTCATAATGGGAGTAGCCTCCCCCATCCTCTGGAGGGAGGGGAGTACCACACAATTGTAGCTCTGTTATCGTTGATTACGGAGCAGTAAAAAGACAAAATTTTTCCTTCTGACCAGTTCTGTTTCTCATACCTTCACAACATTTTACCATTATTGAGTTGTCAACAGTATAAAATGGTCTTCTTTTATCAAGAAATATGGTCAAGTTTATTTTTGGATTTAATACCTTAGTAAACCATTTACCCCGGTACTGCATTGCAAATAAGTTATCATGGGTAAAAGTTTTTTTGAAAAATGACTTATTCTTGGTGATTCAAACATGAAAGATAATAATAGTAATTTATTTGGATTCAATATAAAAATTTCTTTTTGCACCATTTCTTAAGTCCAAAATAACAAGTTTCATTCTGAGATCATTAAAACCTTAAAGTTAAAAGCGCGATTAGCTAAAGGAATTCTTCTACATAACGACTATCGAGCTTTATATTTCAACCATGTTTTTAAAAATTCACAACTTTTCCGGCTTAAATGAAGTTTGGTTCAGAAAAGTGATTAGTTGCCAAAATACTTTTGCGGCTGGATGGTCAGAAGCAGGGGCGGACTGGCTAATTTTTTGGCCCGGGCAAATTTTTATCAAACCGGCCCACAATAATAGCAAATAAAAAACTCCTCGGAAAATGCATGTAAATGTTAGTCTGTAAGGAAAACAAGTTTTTAAATTCAATAATTTTGTGCATGGGTAAATGCTGGTTAACAGAACATGTTAAATATGTCATTTGCTAACTAAAGAGCAGGGCCGTAAATCCCGAGGGGACGGGGGGGACTGGACCCCCCCAAAAAATCTTTAACGTCCAAAAAGTCCTAATGTTCCGAATTGTTGAACCTCTTTTAGTCGAATTGCGGTACCAAGACCTCCATAATAGCTCCTTAATTTTAACTGCACATTTAGTGACATGATAATAGCATAGACACAAAAAATGAAATTCTGAGTTTTGCTTTTAACTGTAGCTAGGAACAAGGGCAAAAGACAAAAAGGGAAAGAGGTCAAATTAATTTGCGTAAAAGTACCACGTCAATAAAGAGGTACTTTTGCATGTAATATAGAGAGAAGCAATGACTACACCCTTTATTATTAGAATGCAATAATTTTTGCTCAGCCTCTATTTTTTTAAGGAAGTTTTCGTTTTGAGCCCTAATATGTTCTTAGATGCATCCTTATTTTTTTTAATCTGATATGGTTTCAGGAAAAAATCGCTTGCTCTCGAATAGAAAACACCTTTCTTTCTTTCCCCAACGTCTGTCACTAGAGTTTAAGCATGACTCTTCCCTTTCCCAATTTCTCCTAGAACAATAATCAATGTTCTTCTGAGAAACGTCAACTTGTCTATCCTGAACGGTATAGTATTTTGTTTAACTTGGTCTGGGAGATGCTTTTCTAGCTATTTAGAAGGTATGATTTAAAAAATTTTCTTTCGCGTCGGCCCCAACCATGGTGGGTCCTCCTACATTACTAAGCGCGATTCTCAACCCCCCAGGCTCAATTTCCTCAAGCTGTCTCTGAAAAATGTTATCAATTCAATTATTAAGAAGTAAACGTGCTAAAAAATCTGTAAATTCCTTCTATAGAGCTGAAAAAACCTTAAAAAAATCTAATAATCTCTCTTTTGTTTTTTAAGTCGTTTGCCGCTCAAGCTGTTTCCATAACACATACTGTAACTTTATATTCATTTGCTCTGCTGACCGCCCCCCCCCCCTCCCCCAATCGACATGACAGATTTACGGCCCTGACTAAAGAGTAAATAAACAAAAATTTTAACTCATTGGTTTGATTTTGTTTCTAAATACAGGATCTTATATGTTGATAATGTGATCGTTCTGGATGTCATCTAACAGGTGTTTTTCCAAGAACATTAACATGGACTCCAGGTTGGGCTGCGAAAAA